CGACGCGCAAACGAGCTTTCTAGCTCTATCGACCACTGCGTCCACTCGGGCATTAGGCGGCCGACCGGCTCAGACGGTGGTTGCGGTCTGGGGTGAGAATAGGGGGTAAGGTCGATAACTCAGCGCGTTTTCCCCACTATATACAATCTGACGCGCTTGGAACTATCACGTGACTGGGAAGTCTGCCGGCTGGCGAGATGAACTACCTCGCAATCGGCCCAATGTGTTCTTGTAGGGTGGCGGACTGGTGGTCTGACAGTCAGACCGCAATGGTCTCTTCCTAATCTGACCCGTATGACATCGTCATTAATCGAAATCGAACCGCGTGTTGGGGTACACTTAGGGACAGCTCTGACCGCGCCATCCGTTGCTTCTGTTTTCTTGGGGCCTAAAATCATGGTCAGTGTTTGTTGTGTTTCGGGGGTTGTAGAATGCCCACTCTGTCATCGAACGTTCATCTCACTCACCGGCCCGGTCGGCCACCTGCGAATCCATCGCAAGTTGATTGGCGAATCGGTATATGAAGCACCAGTACACAGCAGATGCCATCGCCTTTACTGCACTCTCAAACCCAAGCACCGCATAGGTCTATTAGGCCTCATGCTCGTTTATGAACACCTGCAGTTAAACACTGGCTAAACCACATCAACAGCACCTATCATCACACAACCCATTCACATAACTGGTACTATTTACGTAAGCGGAAAGTATAGTTTTCGGCTCCTTCTCCGTGTGGCTCAGCTGTTGCATATGTGATCCGAGCCTCAGCCTTTCATGGTGCGCCAAGCGCCGTGACTTGGGGGTTGAAAAGTGACGCATACCCTTTCGTCCTTCATTTAATCTAGGTAAAAAGATGATCTTATTCTTATCAGTTAACAATCGAAACCACTGTCGACTAGCGCATCATCCTCACTGCCCTAACTAAGTCCGCGGCATATATTGCGTTTTGATATCAATAAGTAACAATTAAAGTGGAGTTTTGATTTTTGGCTATTGGAAATATGATCATAGACATCTTGCCGCGAGTTTACTCTACACATTCTTTTAATATATCAGCTTCGACGTCCTCAGTTTATTGCGGTAGATTCGATAATTTAGACGGATTTTCGGCGGTGGCGGGTCTCTTGCTGCTGGCTAAATTAGCTTAACTAAAAGTTTAATTAGGGTACATAATATTGTAACTGGCCTATTTACCATCCTCGTAGTTTTACCTATTTTTGACGATTAGGATTTGCGGAACTAGTCTTGTTTTCTTGTCCTAAGTACCCTGATAATATCCCAAGTGACAAACTTTGTCGAGACCATATCGAGTAGATATCTATTCTTCAAGATACTCCTGAAACGGCGATAACGACACACAGCAACATATGTTGGTGTGGAGGTGTTAGCTATAGCGACTCCAAAACTGCTATTGCATTAGTCCAGTTCACACTCCTATTACTGACCTTATTTTGTCTGCTCTACGTCCTTTGTTTGTCATTACAACTATGTGAACCTTGATTTGTTAGAATAGGTCTACGTTCAGTGGCTTGCTCTGTCTACAATATGCCGTCAGGACGGTCGAAAGAGGATGTCTTTGACCTGTTAGAACATGCTATCTCAGATGTTACTGGATTCCACAAGCATGCACAACTGCTGGCCGTCGACCCCCACCCCGAGGCCCCCGACTTGCTTTTGATGGAGGTTACCCCCGCAATGGCTGACCAGTTACTCAGCCCTAGATCTGATTCTGACTTTTGCTTCAAATCTTTCAAAGACTCCTCACAATCACAGACAGCCTACCTTTGCTCTGAGGATAGGACTTTTAAAGTTTTGGAGGCTGAAACATCAAACTCCCTGCTGCTTGCCCCTAATCTCTGGATTCCTACTAAAAAGGACAACGAACATCCTCCGGCAGAGCCTTTTGTCACGCAAGCGAACATCGTCGGAATTAAGTCCTGTTACTTGGAAACTGCAATAGTGAGAGCACCTCCGTTGAATAAACTGAAACAGCTTCTCATAAAATCGTCGTTTGCTGGACACATTGAGGAGGACGACCGGGATGACTCCACTGCTACTCAGTTTTATTCCTTTCAAGAGCTGTTGGAAAACGTCCCCTGCAGCAAAAGGGAACTCATTGCAGCGCTAGACCGACTGAACGTCATGGTTTGGGAAGGAAAGTGTCGCATGTTTGAGGTCGAATATCTGAATTCTGTGAGTCTCATTCTTTAAATTTACAGCCCCATCCTGCTTACTATCATTTATTTGTATGCAAGGGGACCCATATCTCGAAACGGCCATTTGTTGTTCATAGGAGTGCAAGATTCTATCTACAAATTTCCAGTACTGAAGTTAGGTTTTTTCCCTATGTGCGTGTCAATCACACAGGACCAATTAACCTTTTGTTTTTGGTTTCCGTCAGAATTGTCACTTGCCGCGCTTGGGAACGCAGATGCACTGCTTTCGATGGCAGCAAAAATTGTGTCCTTGGCACAAATGGGGAGTGATTTCGAGAATGCTCTTTATTTGCCATGATTACACTTTGCAGGCAAACAAGCGTTTATAGATAAAAGCGACATTTGTACTTTACTCCACAGCATTAAGGGCAGCTGGCTGCGCTGGTGTACCACTGGCTTCATGCTAAACCGCCGAGGCATGGTGGTGAGAATGAGGCAGGCGGTTTTCTCCACCGAGGTACGCATCGGTTAAACAAGGAGAGAGAGTGGCCTTTCGGCAACTGTCGATATCCGGCGGCCGCGAGGGCAGAGATTTAGTGTCGCCTTCGCTTCCTACTGTAGTTTCTCTGCACACTGTTCTTTCCGCGTTTACTTCATCTCTGAAAATATCCCTTGCTAACCCGCATGCTGGTTTTTTGTAGTTTTGGCGCCTTGAGAGCTGTTTAGAACGTCGGCCCTACTTTTGACCAAGCCATCCACGCCCTTATCAACACAATCGAGCGGTGTCTGTCAGCCCTGTAGCGCCTGAGCAGTGAGAGTACTTCAAGCTCCACAATCATCAGGCCAGGTTCCGAATAGCAGGCGAAGACTTTATACACCAGAATGAAGGATTTCTTGCGCACAGAATACCGATTTGCTGCCTCGGGCAGCAGTGGCCGCTGGCGAGGTCAAGTTGTGGGCTTACGATGTTAGTTCGTGCCTAAGAGAGAGACGAGTGATGGAGAATGCCTTAATAGGTTTGCGTAGCATTTTTAAATGCTGTCCAACTGGTGTGTGTTGCATTAGCTGAGGGATGATGTGTCTAGTTGTTTGTGTTGCATCGACCCGGGGGTGACGTGTTCATAGGGAGTATCGGCGACCGAGACTGTCTTAATGCACTTGTGTTCGGGCCGAAGTCGGTAGTGGGACTGCTGTTTAACATCGCGTGAACCTCCTCTTAACACATCTGGAGAACTATCACTTCAGCTACGTTTGAATCAAGTACATATTTATTCGTGTCAAGGAGATTCGGCCAATACAGAAAGCGGTCAACTAAACTGTAGTGTGATGTGCAATTAATGGCTTGGACAGCCGTGGTGCGCAAGAGCGTTCTGGGCAGCTACCTCCGCCACGAACGACTTGAAAACTTCCTCCCATCCATGTGATTTTCTCCCGTAATCTTCATCCTTGTCACTATTCATCATCTCCAGGGTGTAGGATTCCATTTGGCGAGAGACAAGTTGGATTTTGCCCTAAAGACAACTGTCTCTAACAAGCAGATATCTGAGGAGACGATCCGAAGTTCTCAAAAAAACATGCCAAAAAACAAGAGACGGAAAACTTGAAACCGTCACAAATTTACACCTACTATCCATAATTAAGATCAGCGCACTGGGAGAGTGGGGGAGAGAAAGGAATGGGGACAAATGCTTTAAGAGGTTTTCACAGCAAGTTCAGGTGTTGAATCGGGGGGGGGGAGGTGACGCATTCAGGTGGCGCCTGGGCGACCGCGACTCTGAGCGCACGTGTGTTAACGCTGAAGTCAATAGTGTGGCTGCGGGTCAGCAAGGTTAGAACCGCTCACTACGAAAGCAAGTGACCTTGAAGCAGCGGGGTCTTAAACATAACTGCCAGAAATCGTAATAGTGACTATCGACAACTGTCATATTAGGAGGAATATGGTGTTGTATGTGCCTAACAAAGAAGCCTAACCGCTTCACTACATGTGTGGCTTCATCTCTAATAGTTAGGAAATGTAAGTCGTAAATCTAATAGTTAATCTTTCCAGGGTTTGTATGTGGCTAATCGTAGATTGCCCTTGGAGTCCTGCCGTGTACGCGTGTAGAAAATGCGCATTTCTAAGTCCGACTTTTCGGCTTTGGAACCCGATGCGCTTTTGCCCTTCTGTTAGCGATGACAAGTTCATCCCGCTCCTATCCATCCTCACGCCTACCTCCCAAGAATCCCTAAAACTGTAATAACCGCAGTTTTCACTCTCCATAACCTCTCCTATCTGTGAACGAGGTGTTTTTCCACCTGTGACAAATTTATTTATGAAGCCTATTGAAGAGAGACTGGCCGTATTGCTGCGTAGCCAAACAGAGCCTCAATGTTAGATTAGCCACTGCTCCCCAGCCCACCTCAGGTCTTCTGGCTACTGGAACACAACGCGTGTGAGAAGACAGAGTGAGGTCGGTGTTGCGTGGGTCCCCTCGCTACCTTTGAGGGTAGTGATCAACAGCGTGTTGACAGATGGAGTACTAGGATGAGCATAGTTGCCACACTAATCATCCAGAACCCTGCAGCCGACGAGACTTCCTCCTGAGCGTGAAAGCGATTGAAAATCCAGTCTTTCTGATTATCACACGGCTAACCTAATCGGATCATAACGGAGCGGTATATTGACTTATTTTTGACATTATGTGACATGCAGTAGTCACTGACTCTAGTGGAACGTCAATGGGAATTGCTGAATATTCTTCTTACCCCGAAATGACTTCTATCTGAGGTCTCTACAAGGTCTGTACGTTGCCATCCCATCTTCAGTGTGGGCAGTTTGAGCTTACACAGCGTTTTCTGCGACTTATATTCCGCATAGAGCAAACAAGTTTAAAGATGTGGTTCTGAACCTCCATGTCGCGTATGGGCTTTAGAAAACACGCTAACCGCTATGACATTAGGTGCCAGTAGAGGTAATGATTCCTAGGTCAGCAGGTGATCCGTTCTGTTAAATGATCTCCTTATCTTGTGGTGTGTGTAAACGCATTTCTAGGTCTAACTGGGCTATTCGCAAGCAGCTTTGGTTTATGTACATTGACAGCTAGCGCACATTAGCAAGTCCATTCGGAAACTCGAAGGAAAACAACAGAACGTTGCTGGGCACTGCCAACTCAAGTGATGTAGATTCTCAAACGCGCACTCAAATGTTCCTGTGGTCTACAAAACGGCTAATCTAGTTGGTGCTTTCTTAAAGCTACTCTTATCATCGTTCTCTGTGCCCTACAGGTAATCCAGGCCATCTTCGATCTGGCTGACGAGAACGCCTGGAATTGGTCCAAGGACGGTTTACCAGCAGCTGCCGCCGTGCTAAGCCTCGAAAAGCTCTACCCCGCCTCGGTGACGCGCCAGGTGTTCCAGCGTTTCTTTTATCGTAGGCGATCAGCCACTGTCCCTCCCGGTCACGTCTTTCCGCGCCTCGGAAAGATTTGCCAGCTTGTTGGAGAGCATCTTCTCTCTGTGACTACTAAGTTTGCCCTGCAGGATTTCTTCTCCGTTTGGTGTGCTGCAGTGCCGCGAGGAATGCGCCCACGTCTGCGCCAGCATCTCACCTGTGCCGGCCGGGCGGTTTGCGAGTCTCACCTGGAGCTTGCGCCTGCGGGAGGCTCTAACAACGCTGCCACAGATAAGGCCCACAGAGGTCAAAGCATCTCCCTCCTGCGCTCCGAAGATCTGCCAGATGACTCAGTGGAAGCACGTCTAGAGGTCTTATTTGCCCGTCAGGCCGTCTGGCCAGAAGCTGAGCTTGCAGGCTACATGGCCGACCTAGTGGTGGGCGCCGCCTCTGAGGACCGCTCTTGTGAGTTTGTCTTCGAGGGCACTGTCGAGGAGGAGCTTATTGTGCTCTCCGATTGCGAAGACGACGCAGAGCTCGAGTCGATCGACCTCAACTCGGTGGACTTGCCGATTGAGGGCGGTGTTGCACGCGTTCCCGTGGTGTTTGATAAGCCAAAACCTGTGCCGGCCGTCCTTGGAACCCTGTTAGCGCAGCATTGTCGGGCTAGCGGTACAGCCGGTGCCCGAGTTTACACGGAGAAATACCCACGAAAGTAACTTCCTACTCACTTTGCCTGAAGATCCTATTTTTGTACACCTCCTGGGCTATAAAGTGTTTCCTTAATAACGCTTCTCATCCATGCTTTGCCTGGGCGTTTTCCCTCGTTATGGACTGAATTGCCTTAAAATCCTCCAAATCTCCTATCGCATTGGTTATGGGTACGCAGTTTACGTTATTTGGCGATATGCCAGACACTTTAAATGTCGGGTTGGTGAGACTGGCTGCGCCAATTCCGGGACTCACCTAATAAGAGCTCCTTGTCCTCCATAGTTTGTCGTAATAGATGATCTGATTGTCTCAATTTTGGATCTGTAACTAGCTGGCACTGCCGTCTTGGCACTATCTGTGGCTTTAACAATTGTCACATTGTGGACAGTTAGGAACCCGCGCAGCCAGTAAAAAATAGATCGTCAGCCTCCCAACTCTGTACAGGGTCCTGTGATGCTGAACTAGAAGTACATACAACGCATCCACTCTGTGCGGACGCTCAATACCTTCATACTGCTGACACTAGTAAGTGTGACCTGTTTTAGTCTGAAGCGCTTTCTTGCTGCAAAGTATGTCCTCTGCAGATCACCTGTAGAATACTCAGCGCTACTCCATCTGACGACGCGTCTTCCGACTGTGCGTTTCAGTCTTTAGCACCAGGGGGTCGAGACGGGCAGTTCAGTTGCAGAACTTGCGGCTGTAGCTACTGTGGCACAGAGGCGATAGTTCAACCGTCGTCCGTCGTGTTCCCCAGGGAGTACGCGCAGCATCGGTGACCTGCGCGTGTACTAGTTTATAGTAGTAGCAGACTTGTGCAGCGTCTGCCGCACTCTCTCTCCCCTCACCCACACTACTCTGATTGGAGAACGACATCAAGACGTCCAGAAGTGGGCTCGGATAAAGCCGCTGACAAGGCTAAGTGGCACGTCTACGTGCGCCACACGACCTGGTCCGGGCCTCAGTGCGGGAAGTCCGGATGTTACATGTTCGACTGCCATAAAAGCTACATCAAGGAGTAGCCATTGCAGCCCGATTCGCAGTCCCTCACTCACTCTGGAGTACTCCCACAAGGGTCGAGTTATCCGGTCAGTTGCCACCCTTTAAGTCACGGCTCTTGGCTGGTCGTGAGGAATTCACGCACGCCAGGTTTATTAGGGTGCGGGGTGCACTGATTTTCCGTGCCAGTTGGTTCCCCTTTGTCGGCCTCCCTTTACCATAAACCATTCGATTTTCTGACCATCTCAACGAACTGGTGGTGAGCACAGAGGTAGTGCACCTTAAACAAATTAGTGGGGTCGACCGCTAAGATTTATCCTCGTAGCAAACACTTATGATTGTGTAGGCACTCTGTTCCCTACAGTCTACCCTAATCTCATGTTCGGACCTGGGCTGTCATCGGGTTTAGGCGACGTATCTAGATGAGGTTGTAATATTGAGTATCATGCGGCATAATCCTATTATATTCCAGTCACTCCAGAATGCGCGTCCTTACCGCCACAAAATAACTGCTTAATCATATGTTTTCTCCCATTGATTTCCTGTGCTTTTATAAGTCTAAACATGCACAAAGATATCCTTCCTTACAATCATTTTTGGTAAACGTGGTCACCTTCAATTTTTTTGCCCCCAGAAATGGTGTTCTTTGATTGCAGATAGGTTTTTTTAGTATGCGATATTTAAGACCCTCAAATATCTGTTCCAGTGGCTTCATATCTGTCGTTAGTAACGCAGAGGAATGCATGATTTTCCTTAAAATGGAATTATGCTGGTTTGCGAAGTTGAAAGCTCCACGATGGTAATCTCAGGAAGAAAAGTTGCTCGTTAGAACAGATTTGTCTTCTTGCTGACCTTTTGGAGAACTTGATTGACTCTTAACTTTCCAAGCGCTTAATGCCGAAAATCGGCCAGAATTTTCAATGACTGGCCGCGTTAATTGACTTTGAACTGATCGATTTTTCCTTCTTTCGCTGCCTCCCAGCCCTTAGGCAGATGCTTGTGGGGCTTGACGGCCGCCTGCGTTACACATTGTCACCTCGATGAGGGGCTACCTGAAACTCGGCTTCCCCTTTGGGTGGGCCCGTCGCGGGGCCGTGTCCGTTCGGTTTTCCTAAGTTTGATGCGATCATCCTGTCCGGGTCCTCACGTATGCAAAGACGCAGCACTTTGTAGGCCGCAGTTTGAAAACGCAAGTACAACAGAGGACAAGTTCAAAATTATTGGAGAATCGGAAAACTTGTTTAGTGCTGAACGACAGCCTGTCTTCGAGCAGGACTTTGAAGGCGTAGTTTACTACAGAAGCAATATCATAAGAGCTATTTTCTGTGTCCTTTCTATAAAATATATTTGAGTTTATAGGGGGGTCAAAAGTTATTTTAGTGGGTGTGACTTTTGCAAACGACCGCAAAGAGATGCGTTCAAATGCCGGAACCTTGGCGCAAGCGGTATTTCTTGCGTTCACCGCGCTGCAAATTAATTAGTATCACAACTTCACTTAAGTATTTCTCACTAACGGAGATCCCATTTCAAAATTTCAGTTAATGCCTCGTGCAATACTGTGGTTTTTACGCAGCGGGCCCGAGCTCGATCGTAAACCGACGCATGCCGACTGTGCGGTTATCAAACCAATTGCAGGGACTGCGAAGAGCGATGTACAGACGGAAGACGTAGAAGTACTGCAAGTGATTGCGGTGTAAGAGGTGTATTGAGTGACTGTAGGACATACCGTTACCTGCAAAATGGGGGGTCCATACTTCCAGATTTTTGAGCGGTGAGCCGGTCTTCCCGACGCGTCTTATCTCTTGGGCGAAGCGACGCATGCTTAGAGAGCTGTGGAGGCTATTCCCGCGGACGTGTGCGACCATGGGAGAATTTGATCTGGCAAAAACAGGTGTAGCTTGTTTTCCCGGAGACCTAGTCAATCCACGCGTAGATTGAGCTCTCCATACAGTACTCTCAACGCGATTAGGCTTCCGCTCTAATGCGGATGTGTCTCCTTGTGTCACCAACGCATCTCAGGCGTGGGTCCCACCACCGAACACGGTGGACTTCCGTCTTTACTTGGGATGCTTAATATGCATGTGCTTTATGCAGCTCAGGCCCTAATTGATTTTATGGTCTGTCGAATAACTTATGTCGTAGCGATCCGCTGCACCGAACTCCGAGTACTCCTCAAATGACCTTCGGCAAGGGCTGTTTGTCAAGTTACCAGGACGATCTACCAGTCTTCGACCACCAACGGCAGTGCCATCAAGATACAGACATTTGGTTTCCGTAACATCTTTATTCCCTTCAAAAACCGATCTAAGCACCAGCGAACTACGCAAGTGCCTACCAGCGGGACCTCCATTAACAGGTCTCGCCGACAAGACCGAACGAAACCACTATCAGTCAGTAAGTCAGTATATTTGGAGTAAACGACAGAAGCCATGAAAACTCCATTTAGAGGGTACAGGTATAAAGTAAAATAGTTAAATTGCAAAACTTTTGCTTGCAGTTTTAGAAGAGAGAATTCGTAAATCTAATAATGTAACATAAAGGTGAAAGGGGTATTATATTCGCAAAATAATTGCGAAAAACTTTGTTCACCGCATTCGGACTGTGAAAATTTCAATATGAGATAAGTTTGACGCAAAAAATAGGATCTGTTGAAAGCATGTTAGTAGTTATGACTATAAATATACTACTAACCACTATTACGCTCTTGTTTCTGCCTTTTCTCTTGTGGCGCATCTAAGGGGACAGTAACGGAGAGTCTCAATCCCTGAGGGATTTGTCTGGCAGATAAGACATGGGATTGACCGATGGCCTTGCGGTAACTTCTGGGGCGGCACTTATCCCCGTGTCCTAACATTGGCATTAAGCCTACCCCTTTCGAAATTTAAAGTAAGGTCACTTGTAAGACGGGGGTACCTATTCCCATTCCGTCCCCTGGTGCACATCGTTTTTTAAAAAAATCTATGGAATGGAACTTCATCCGCTCTAAAAAGTACTCGTTTTCGCCCGTTTTAAAACATTCTGAGCTAGTTTTCCGAAAGTGAATAACAACGGCGTCGAAAACCTGCGCCCCAACGCGGGTCAGCATTTACTTCACTGACCGCGCCTAGCCATTTTGCTCTACGCGGCAGCTTTTGATAACAGGGTTCTCTTAACAATGAGACATTCCCTCGAGTCGGCATCGAAAAGAGTCCGATCTCTCAGTAAGAAAATCCGGACCTGGTCGTCTGGTTCAAGCAATCGCGATTTCTGCTCTTGTTGACTCTGGACTTTCTCAGACACTATCTAGTTGCCTCAGTCAGTTATCGCGATAGGGCATTTTAGATTCACTTCTGAGCACGTCACTCTTACACTTTAATTTGCCGTTTTCCAAAGGTCTGACAAACGTGAGTTCATTTCCCCGACGGTTTCATTTTTGGCCGTACGCGGGAATATGGACCCTTCGTACTACATGTGGCCTGGCACTAAATTTCAGGAGGGCACCTCTTCCCGTGTTCTAGCTTTAACTCTAGTCCCCCTAGCCCTAACAGAGATCGTCATAAACCTTAGGCTAACCCTACCCCCTGGGATTTTGTGCGAGGCCATTTGTAATACTGCGAGTTCACGTTCCCATGCCAAACCTCATTTTTTTCCGCGAAATACGATATTTTATCTGTCGTTTAGGTAAAGATTAGGGGTAAACTCATGGACTCGCACCTTGCATGTTCTCACACTGTGGGGAGCGCGTAGTCTCCGTAGAGAAGATCTTACCTGTCCACAGAAGCAATATCTGTGCGATCATCTCCTGGCTTCCTATCCCAACTTACTCAGCAACATTCCCTCCCTTGAAGCATTTGTATGAACCTAGCCTTCATCATTCCACCTAACGGATAAGTCTGTCGATGCAATTTTAGACGCCACCTTCAGAGCTGCCTCTCTCGAACCTCTCCCCTTCACTGTTTTAGGGTCCTAGCAGAGTGCCTTCGCTTACTGATCTGTGCTGTTCAGCCATAGCCAGGTATTTCCACCTCGTGGATTCCCTCTGCGGAGTGCCAGATCACCTGGGCAGATGCATATTTGACCACCTCCTGCCCGCCTTCCAGACCCAGGCGGATGTGCGCCTCGCACGCCAGACAGTAGCCATCTTCTCCAGCTCCTTCGGCGAGGACTTTTTGCACGCCTTCGTAATCACCTCCAGTGTGCCTTTTTGGCTGACCGTGCTCTCTGCCAGCTGCAGTCTGAGAGAGCTTTGGTTGGACAAATGCGAGCTGGGTACCCGGCATGCTGATCTTCTGCCCCTTTTGGGTACTGTTTGCACCAGCCTGCGCTACCTCTCCGCGCGCTTTAACCACCTCTGCAATGACCAGGTGCGTGCGCTGACAGCGGCAGCGCGCTACACCAGGCGGTCCAGTCTAGCCTGTTTGGACCTCTCGGGTAGGCAGTTGTGGATATTTTGTGACTTTTCTGCCCTTTAGGGAACGGCTTTTTGGACGAAGGTTGTCTCAAGCAACTGGCCCCTCTGCCGTCCTTGTGCGTGGTCTTTCTCAGCGACACCGGCCTAGCGGTATGTTTACGATCTTTCCTCCCAAAATGATATCAGCTATCCTGGCTGGCGTTTGGCTCATATAATGCAGAATAGCATCACCAGATATGGCCATTCTAACCTCCCTTGCCCCCATCGGCAATTTCATTCTGTCTATACTGTTAGCCGCCTGCAGAGTTCTAGATCTAGCCCCAGGGCACAACGGGACGAATATGTCCTGCAACGCGACTATCGAGCGCCTCCCTCTATCATAGCCGATTATCCGAGCATTGCTGACATGAAGAGCCCGTGACTCAATGTTTGGATAGTTGAACCCGATCTCTAAACCGGAGGGTTTACCACCTAAACGGCGTACCATTGCAGGAGATAGACGCCCAGAAAGACTTGGGGGTGTGGGTAACGGCTTCTCTAAAACCGTCGCTTCACTGCTCCAAGGTAGCCAAGTCTGCGATGTCAGTCCTTTATCTTGTCAAGAGAGCTTTCTCTACCTTCGATGAGGACTGCTTCGTTAAAGTCTTTCGGACATTCAGGCGTGGAAACCGTGGACCTCTAAAGATCTCAGCATCCTCGAGAAAGTTCAGAGGCGGGCAACCAAACTCGTAGGTGGACAGGGTTCACTACCCTATGAAACCCGATTGTCCAATCTCGGCCTCTTTCCACTGAGTTACAGACAGCTAAGAGGCGACCTTATACAAACATTCCGTATACTGCGCGGCCAGGACTGCTGTCTCGTACCTGCTGATTTCTTTGAGTTAGCGATCACAACGAACCTCCGAGGTCATCCACTTAAACTACGCGTAACTGGCGCCAAGCTGGACACTCGGAAGTTCTTCTTTTCAAACAGAGTGATCGAGGCCTGGAATGCTCTGCCTGCAGGTGTCGTCATGTCCACCTCCGTCGAGGCTTTTAAGCGCAACTTGGACCATATTGCCACCAATCGTCACAATGCCACCTGACAGATTGTCTAGCATTTCGTTCTAACAGTTTATTAATGTTGCTATATTACTTCCTATATTTCAGTAACGTTTGTTTTTTTAATATTGTCCCATGTCTGTAAAATGTGTGTTGGCATTCAATTCGTCTCCCTCCGAAACTGAGATAGCACCAACTATCCCTAGACAGACTACTGTACAGCACATTTAGTAACGTTAATGTTTTTAACTCTTGGAACAATTCGTTTATCTGTCTGGCTTACAAAACTTTGCCAATCTGAAAAAAACTCTGTAGCCGTTTGATGTTTCAATTTTCAAATTTTTTTTTTATTGTTCGCCTCCTTGTAACAAATAGGGAGTTCAAAGGTTTAACACCTATATTTCCCTCAAATAAACTGAACTGAATCACCCGGACGCTAACCCCAGGGGTTGCGCGCCCGAGGATGGGTATGGCTGGCTGCTGACGACTACTAAGCCACAAACAGCCATTTCAGTCTCTCTCGTCTTTGTCAAATATCCCACGACCTTTATGATTCCCCTTCAAATTCAGGTGTCTACCCTCCTGTTGCCCGGTTGGAGACAACACCGTGACGCCAAGGGAGCCGCAGTCCGCAAGATCCGGTCCTCCTGTTGGTTATCCCTGGCGCTGGCCGCTGAACATGTAACGAACCCCAGCCATCCTTACGAGTCACCACTTGTAATTTGGCGTTCCCCTGTTAAGTGAACGACTGGTTCTGTTGTTTTTTGTTTCCTGCTCCCGTTTCTTCCCCACTCCGTCTCGTTTGTTTTTCACGACGAAAATCGAAAACTCGCGACTAGCTGGTGCTCCAGAAATCATCACGTTACCTTTACGAGATCCGCAATCAACCTGGAGCATTCGAGGGTCATATATTTTAACCAGGGGGAACCGTCGGGTATTCAGTCCAGCCAAAACGAGCAGCGCACCGGCGCTGATGCCCCCGTCGGCTCATCCGGCCAAATCAATCACAGCTTGACGCTAGTTTCAAGAGCAAGCGACAAACCCTGCCCCTCGTCCGTAAGTCAAATTGCCTGTACAGTGTAGGCATATACGGCAAACCCTAAGAGCATAAGGTCCGAGAACCTCGACCTCGGATTCCTCTAGTTGGTCAGCAAGACGGTCGGTGCAAGTATGCACAGATGTCGCCGTTTGGCTGCGACTTTTTCCTATCAGAACTGGTTCTAGATCACTAGCGACCTCCAAATGAGCTGAATACCGTGGCGGAGAGCCTGTAACTACGGTGGTTCCTTCGCTGTACCCGACAGATGCCACTGATCTGTGCGCGGACTTGACCCCTGCGGCACCGAAATCAATCGCACCCCATGCACACTTTCCCAGGAGGGAGATCGGGTGAATGCGATTTTATGAGTTTGGGTGTGGTGGCTGACATCCGCCCGCCGGTTTCACGAGTGCTGACCTTGGAAATGAACCAGACCTTAGCGAGACTACTAACTGGGCGCAAAATATAGACAATCCTCATCACCCGACCCTGCTTATTCGTCGACCGCAAGCGGTGAGGAACACCGCTGTGCTCAGACGCGGTAACTTATGCGCGAATATGGCAGTATCTGCCCTCCTCTTTTCCCAAACCCATTCTTTCCCAATGGCCAGCGGCAGACGAGGCTCAATCTACGTGTACTCCTATATGCAGGGGAACCCAAGCTATGAGGAAGAGTGCTCCGGTTTCTTATTGGAGCGAATAGTCGTGAAAGCCGCAGTGGGGTGGAACGACAGCAGCTTATCTCGCACTTTGACGGAGGGCGCAGCTACTTTCCGGTTGGCCACTCCAATAGTTACGACAGTTAGCCCGCCGTGACAGTTCAGAGCGTAATTCATTGTTTGTAGTGGGGAAACTATGCAGTGGACGCCCTCACCCCCCCCCCCGTCTGTCTGCTGTACCAGGGACAAGCCGGAGCCAGACCAGCTCGTACACTGTTACCCTACAGATGAGGGCGGTGATGCCCCCCTCCCGCACTGCATCTACGACCCCTCAAATTTCTAACAACAGGGCGCCCCTGACAACCTACTCCATTTGGTTAGAAAAGCGACCCGTAGATCCTCTACGGTAGGATACCGCGGTGAGGTCCCTCACGGCGAACAGGTCACACAAGCGTGTTACCGAGCATATGACCAAACCGTCCATTTAAAAGAGCTCGGGCGAACGCAGGAATAGATATTACAGGACAGATGTCGACCTAAGGTCAATCAGCAGAATTCAAGGACGTGCTTGCCCGCCAACGTCCACCACCTTGCAAAGCCGGCACACGAGCGATTCCCGGTGTGGCCGACGAAGGTCGCTGAACCGGCTATTCAACAGGCTGAACGCACATATGGCCGCTTGCAGAGTGGCTGACGGCAGACTGATGCGATCTCAACGCTGTGTCGCCCTCTCCGCCTTTTTCGGGCGTTTTATCCAGGCGACCTACTTGCACGAAACACTTGTATGACCGGAAACATCGGAAGAACTTGTCAATGTTTCGCACTAAGCGCAGAAGCCCGCACCAACTACCCTCAATCTATTCAAATTATCAGCTCAAACACTGTGGACATAGGTGTTTAAGGGACCGGCTTCTCGACCGTATTCCTGACAGTTTAATGCCAGCTATCTGAACACGCTTCTGCTCTCGACTACTTATAAGGATGCAGATATGACGTACTAATCAGGGTTTTGCATGGTGAAATTAACCAAACACCTCGGAGCGTGGCACAGACCCTGCAGATTTAGCAAATGTGAAAAACAGAAGGCCCAGATCCACAATTTCCATCCCATTCCTCCCCAGCCCATTTTCCCCCATAGAGAAGAAAAGCTCAGGAGATAAATTCTAGATGAAGCAAACAGTGAAAAGACAGAGAAATAACACGGGGCCGGGGTGCAGTGAGTTTTTTCATTCGATGGAGATCCCGCCAACTGACCATTCGACGCGCTGAAAAAGTGGAATTACATTTACAAAACAATGTAAACGCGTGGAAGATAATCGAAATGGACGTCGCCTGTCCTGCCAATGACCATATTACTTAAGTGAGAGGAATGTAGGGAAAACCTAGTCCAGCCGGCCGGAAAGAGGGCAAAGACAGACTGATTACTCGCCAACAAAATGGCCGAGTGGTCGGCATTATGCTCGCTCCAAAAGCCCGTGACACCCGAATTTTCGTTTTCTTCTGCATCCGTCAATTGCAACAAACTGATAAGTCGATAGGTGCGGAGAGGTAGCATGCTAATTGCTTAGAGTGGAAAACTGCACGGAGGCACCTCTTCAGGAATCGCAAAAGTAGGGGGTCAAGTTAAATCGGCCCAGATAAAGTTATGGTCTTGATTCTTATATCAAAAGCAAAGTCAAACATGTTACATTTTAACACTGGGTGTAACCGGCCTACAAAAAACCCAACTTGGCGACACAACAGATGATCGTCAAGAAACCACACTGAAGGCGATCAAAAATTCCTTTTATGAACATGTGCGTGTTTGTCGTTGATGTTGGTCATAATAAAATGAGCAATAACTGGGCACATTGGGTAAAGTTTGTATTCTGCGATGGTTTACATAATCATGCAAGTCAACTTTCAGGGATCGGACGTGACAGGTACTAGAAATGTAGGAACTGAGGAGAAACACTGTGTATCAGTACCTTGTCCTGGCTCCCGAAGCTTGGTCTACTGAAACGGCTGGAACAGCTAGGACTAGACTCATGCAGGACAAACAACAGGCCTCAGCGTAAGACTCTGTGAGTTTGGGGGAGGTCAAGTGTGAGGTTATCAAGAGCAAGGATCTCTAATTAAACTGCACACGGTCGCTGTGTAGCCACATCATTGGACGTCGTTATGCAAACAGACTAGAACGATTACAGCGTAATAGGCATGGATGAAAAAAGGACAAAACTGCGTGAGGTTGGCCATATGGGTGGGCCTAGCAACCAGGGAGATAGGGTGTGTCTCATGTTAAACAGGCTCATATTGTTTGTCGCCCTCCCAATCTCCTTTTTTGGCAATTTTATGCCTGTTTCAATTTTTTCTGGGAGATAACGCCTCAGATCCCAGATGTTTTGTCGTCTAGCCACATAATTTATAAAAAGACACATGCCGGGTAGTTATATAAGGGCGCGCTATGCGGTAGATGCGCTAGGTCAACACGGGGGCCACATTGGACTCCAGCAGGCATTGTTCAGCATGCGAACCTATAACAAACGTCGACATTCGGGGTGCGGTGGTACGCCCAATTGCCGGCCACGTTGCGGTGATTAAGATTCCTGTCACCCTTCCACTTCTTTTTGTTTTTGGTTAAAATCCTGGTCAAGTGTTTGTTGCGGACCAGGGAGTGTGGCGGTACCCCTAGCTGCGGGTCCAGCCGTGCCAGCCACCTGCGCCCTCTCCCACCTCCGTCCTTTCTGGCTACGTCTTGAAATCGAGCTCGGGTGCAGTAGATGACGTGCAAATCTACTACCACTGTAAACTAAATTGCGCACAAGTCGCCGTGCCAACTCTAACCCTGTTGTAAAGCACGCGGTGGACATCGTCGGTCAAACTGTCAGGTGTGTCCCCTGTGAAACAGGCTCATATCATTTATCTTTAACTACCCTCCTAATCTGCCTCGTTAGCAATTTTATACTCGTTCTAATTTGTTTTAGGAAGACAGCGCCTCAAACCCCAGATGTTCTATTTGTCGTCTAGTTACATAGTTTATTTTGAAAAAACACCTGCTCGGTGGTCATCTCCCCATAAGTGACGACGATTAGGGCATTTTCTGTCTTAAAATATCAGGACCCTCCTCCGCATACAGCTCCTGTTCCGCATCTCAGGTTGGCAAGCCCCCGTGAGGCATCACCCTTAAACGGTGGGCTGTTCACAGAGCTACCGGATTGACCTAGAAACAGTGGAAAAATAGGATGTGCGGGAACGAAGTGGCCGTGCTGGGGTGACGGGGCGTATCTCGAGAACGCAGAGCTTCCTCGACAGGAAAATCCGTGGAAGTTGGGAAGAGACTTGGCTTTCGAACTCACATGCTGCCGCTCGACTTGCCGACCCGGGAGAGGGAGCAGGCAGCCAACTAAATACTTGCGAAATAAAAACGCAATCTCCCATTATTTTACGTCGAAATCCGTACCCCGTTTGCCTGGACAGGCCTATGCTCCTGACGTTGACAATCGCCAGCAGTATGCGTTTGATATGCGCAATTTCTGTGTAAGCACGATAATACGGATACTATCTCATATACCTTCAAACAGATGAGCGCTACGGCGTGCAGGTCTGGAATCACATGGCCTACATTGCAAAATAAACTGATGCAGTATATGTTACAAGGTGCCGGTGGAAGCGATGAATTCATATGTGCATAGGGCGTCTTGAGCGAGAAATGGGATAGATCAGCTCCTTACCGACTTGAAGCAACACAACAGAAGTCGGTTTGTTTTGAAAACAGCAGAAGGCAAAACAATGCTCTGTCAGTTAGTCCTGTTTACGTCAACTTAAAGCAGGTTGTGCGTTTTCCTCTTAGACAGCAGTGAATAGACGGCTCCAGATCGTTGCCATATTAGCTGGAATCTGTAATCTGGTGCTGATGAAGGCCAATTAAAGTATATGTGATACTATCAAATAGGAACAATCGAGGAAGGAGAACCTAACTGCATATGTGGGAAAAGTCAGGGTTGGCCCGATTACAGGGAGAGAACTGGTCACAAAATTTGACAATATTTAGGCTTTCCACCATGATTACCTGAGCAGGTTCGACAAAGGAGAGCCAATCGGATGCGTAGGTTGGTAGCAATCCCATATTGTGACATTTGTACACTGCCAGAGCGAGCATCACCAAGTTTCCAAACAGGTAGGTGAGACACTGGATTGGAGCTTGGCTGCCCTCAATCAACTTGAAAGCTAGTCAACAAAAAGGTAGGACGCTGTCTTTACAACGGTTAACGACGGGATGTATAAAATATACGGCGGAAATTTCTTAGCCTTACTTGCTTGTATGGACAAGATGGCCTGGATCGGTCGCATAAACATCATGATCACCATCATAATCGGAAAGATCGATATGGAATTGCCGGTCATCCACATGATCAACAAATTCATGGGAATTTGTCGCAGTGGGGCAAGAGCAATGTCCCAGCTGCGCTTCACCGTCAAAGTGTCATCTTGATCGCGAGCCACTGTGTTCGGAAAAGACCGTTCCACGTAGCCGGTGGGCTGAGAGGGCTCGAGAGCAACGCCGGACATTAGGCCTATCCGGTTCCTGGAAGGACAAAATCAGAGATCAACTATTCAATCCCAGGCAAATGAACTCTAACTTCCGAACTGAGCATCATAGAAGGCCAAATGGACAACAATGAAGTTAAAGATAGCAGGAATGGAGGAACTTCTGAAACGTACTAACTCCACTTACTTGGAGGAAAAATCAAAATTCCATCGGCGAGATGATAACCTCGAGTACTCCGTAAGGCTATAGGATGCTTTGTCAAATGTTTCCATGACGTCCTAGGATAAAAACAAATGTTTGCTTTTAGGAAGTATTCTCTGCAATAAAGTCGCACTTCCTGTTTATGCACGCTTCGACAGCCTCGCGGATCGTCGGGAATGCGAAAGTATTTTAAAGAAAAGCTTAATACGGCAGTTGGTGCTGTAAAATGATGTAATTTACAAATTAAGTGGACTACCATGTAAAAGTTTGGAGAGTTTGACAAAGTCACTGGGATCGGCCTCTGACTAACAAATTTTGTAGAGGTTGAGTTAGATATTTGACTATGAAACTACTTAAATAGATCCAACAGACTATAAAACATTTAGTTAATTTGCGCTGGCCTCCTACTTTACGGATATATTTTTATAAAGTGAAGTTGATTTGGGCTGGAGATAAGAGAGTGGGTTTAGAATGATGATTTGCGGATCATATTTTTGGATTTTTGCATGCCACTGGGACAAAAGAGGTTGCAAGTTGCATCTAACCTAACTGTGGGCGAACGTATTCCCGTTTAATGTGCAGCCACTACTTTCTGAACCTCAGAAGTAATTTTACAAGCATCGACATCATTAAAGACAATATGAGGCTTCAACAACAGATGTGTAATTGTGTACCTTTTAGAGGGGACAGACATCACAGTCGGGACATGATGGTTTTCAAACGCCTAACAACGATTTGAGTGAGTTATTGTGGGCGTCCCATCATAGCGAATTTTCCCGTTGACGATAGTCATGGCCATCGTCTTCAAATCTCATTAGTGGGTGTCATCTCGCACAATTTCGTATTCGATAATCACGAGTATGAACCGGTTGATATAACGGGAAGTCGGTAGTGGCCCCTCTATGAGGCTGAGCCTTTCTACAGTCATGGGACATAGTGTGGCAAACGGTAGGAAGAACGGCGACTTGGTGAAGCACAGGCTACAAAAAGCACCTCCAGAAAACCGCGTCTGTATTTCGTTGGTCCGTGTGTTTGTGCCAATGGTGAAAGATGTTTACGGAGTCCTTTACCCTCGTTTTTGACACAATTCACGGCGAGTCGTTAACATCTGCACCTAAAAACAGAATGCCCTTATCCAAATGCAGCCCGGCCTGGTGGCTCCACAACTCCTGTGCAGCGAACGATTTGCTTGTTTTCATTGCCGGCATATTTCCCGGGCCCATATAGCAGCTAGCGGTAAATGTCCCCAAAGCTCAGATCTGCATTTTGAAGCACGCGCCGCTGCTTCGCGGCACCGGGTGTGACGACAACGTCGGACACAAAAGGTGTTGGCAGTTTTTAGGTTCTGCATTCAGACAGTACAGAAATGAAGTATTCTTGTAGTCGCTTCTCTCAGAGGGCTGCCCAAGCTTTTAGGTCGTGAAAATTCAGCAATCAAAACAGGACGTTATGATCCGTATGGATATGGAAGCGGTGATTTAGCAGATATGGATGGAAATGCTGAAGGCAGAATACTAGGGTTGGCATCTCGTGACGCATTATACCATACTGTCGCTCGAATTTGCTCAGTCGCCTAGTGAAAAAAGCTATGCCCTCCTCCCTGCCAGCAGTCTGGCCGGGCAGGAGTCTGGAACGTCCAAAACAGAAAAGGTCAAGATCTGCTGGAGATAACCGTGGGTTAGCCTACGCTTCCTGATCCACAAAACGACCTACACTTCTTAGTCAGTCGTTACAACAAGCGCAGTGATTCTAGCAAACCACCGAACAAATTCGGTGTAAAAGGACGAAAGGTCAAGGTAACCATGAGCCTCCTGGTCTGTCCGGAATGCCGACCACGCATGTTACACTCTTAAAAACCAGACCAGCCCCTTTCGTCCGAAACGAAATGAAAAGACGACCGGAAAAGGCCGACACCAGTTGAATGGGTGCTCGAAATGTATGATGCCAGACAAAATCAGGCGCTGCACTCTGAACCACCCCTAGTTTTTCGTTAACAAAAACTCAGGTCCGTACTAATCGTATCGAGATCTACCAAAGGTTTAAAAGCAGACTGCGCGCTGTTTCTGGGCGTGGAGGAGATGGACTATGAGACCACTTGGGAGAGATACAGTTTGAGCTATGGCTTCGTTCAACGATTTCCTATACTTGGAATTTGCTTTTACGCCATTACTACCCACCGACTTCTTATGCGGTGTTTTAATGACAAATCATGTAGTGTGACTTCATGTTCGCAAGTCACCCCCTTGAAGGCTTACTCCCTACGCCATCTTCCACTATCTCCCTATCTGTGCATCCGCCTATACGGTCTAGTAGATTTAGTCCTCTTCTCTACCGAGGCTTCATTAGGCACCCGCGGCCAATCTCAATCATGCGCAGATCTCTTCAATCAAGTGAAACCTCCCGTGCCGGTCGTGAAAGCGTCTTAGAGTTGAAGGCGGCTGGTGACAGTAGGCTCCCCCAACCAGGTGCCCTTTGTGATTTGGCGCCGATGGTCTTCCTTGGGGATCTTCTTGCCAGTGGAAGTTCGAAGTCCGGAAGTAGTTTAATCGGGGTGTCTCAAACGCTAAGACGTATTTCAAATTCGCCTGAAAGCTGTATATCGCAGCTCTGCCACAACTTGCTACATTGGTGTGAAGTTTGGGGCTGCAAAAAGTTGAGATGAAGGACATAGGCCAACACGAGCTGATAACAAGCAATGGTATGTCAAGACGACAATTATCCAAACCAGATAAGGTAAAACAGAAAGCCGAGTCGACGGTAGCGCCTTTCTGTGATGGTCAGGCAACTAACCGTCCGACCCCACACTTTTTTAAACCATGCGAAGCTCATTCAAATAACTGACTCATTCAAGTCGTTCTCATCCTCGTAGGCCGAGATGTTAACCGCTGGGCTTTCCTGCATAACACAGATAGACCCAAAAAGAAATCTCTCCGAAAGTTCCCATAACTTTAAGATTTTCTTTTACACCGGCTGTGCTTCAACGTATATAACAATTCTGGAATACCAATGCTCGTCTGATTTGTTGGTATCTTATGAACATGGAAGCGTATTTAGCTGCTCGAGCGTTTAAAGGTATAAAATCTAGCCTACATGCCGAGATTTTATTATCGAATGTAGAAGTGTCGGGTTTCGATTGTATGAGTAGTGGGCCGATATGGTACTGTGGTGCACATTCAATTTCACTGGCCTCAGTTACTTCTACTAAACATTCCACGAACTTCCTTCCGGGCTTACTGAGTTCGGTTGGCGTACAAACCATAGCTAAAATATGCAAATTAATATTTCGCTTTTCAGGTCTTTGTCCATGAGGAAGAAAAAAGTCAGAAAAAAAGAAGGACTCTTTAAATTACAGAGTAATTTTACATGAATGAAGGCGAAATTTCGGGTTCCAGGTGTATGCATACGTGAAAAAGAAGAATCAAGCACCGGAACACTGTGCTTATTGTCCTGAGCTTTCAGACTCGTGCAGGAGTCCATCGTCAGAGGTAGTGGCAACAACAGAACAAACGACAGTTATAAGGCATGTAGGCCCAATCATCGACCGACGGCGCAAGCCTGGAGGTGACTACGCAGGGCTTTGTACGACGGCGCCAGATCAATAAATCGATTGACCGAGTTCTCATCCGAGGCCCAGGCTTCAATCGATTCTCGGCCTGTTTTGTTTCCGGCGTGGGCGACTATTTTGGTGGCTGCGCATTTATTTCGTGGCCGAGAATCAATTGAAGCCTGGGCCTCGGATGAGAACTCGGTCAATAGATTTATTGATCTGGCGCCGTCGTACAAAGCCCTGCGTAGTCACCTCCAGGCTTGCGCCGTCGGTCGATGATTGGGCCTACATGCCTTATAACTGTCGTTTGTTCTGTTGCTGCCACTACCTCTGACGATGGACTCCTGTACGAGTCTGAAAGCTCAGGACAATAAGCACAGTGTTCCGGTGCTCGAAGCTTCTTCTTCACTTAAGTAATTTTACAGTAATTCGGCCTACATTTGATCAACTTGGTTGGTTATGATGTAAACACTGAAGCCTGAGGCGAGTCGATGAGTGTTGAGGGCGAGCTTCTAAGTAGTCTTGCTCTAACAGGACACCTATGCAACTTTTGATTCGTTCGTATCAGTCGATGAATCCTCGCATCGAGCGAAAATAGAGAGAACAATGTATAAATTGCAGTATTCACTGATGTGAACGCTCCGGATAGTCCTTAAGGAGCATCAGGGACAATCTTATCAAAGACAGCGGAACTATAACCAGAATGGGAAACAGCGTCTGCCGTCTATCTGCGCCCCTTGCTGGGCGTCATGTCTATGTTAAGCTTATTACAGAAAGGGATTCTGGTAAGGGCAGCCCCGAAACACGTAAATTCTTGTATAGCAATTGTGGATCAACATGCTCGCCGACGGTTCTGATATCGAAAAAAGGAACCAGAAAAGAGTGAATAAGGCCAAGGTTGTGGCAAATGGCCAGATTTCCTCCATGTAGTTAATTTGACTTTTTTGGACTTATCAATATGGTCTGGGTCTTCGTTTTAAGAACTATCAACTCACGGGGGTCGAAAATGTTGCAAGAGTTGACATTTACGCGCGCCGAGGGATACGTGAGTCACGATTCTCCAGACCGCAGTCAATTAAGTGGCACAGTGCTCTCCAGAACCCATATTTTGCGTTCAGCGTCTGCCAGAGGAAGTTATTCAGTCCTTTGAGGGGGAAACGGATACCAGCGGTACCGGTGACGGCAAACAAACTTGCCAGGTAGTCGTCACCCCAATAGTCAACAAGGGTGAAGGAATCAAGACAAGTAACGAATTTGGACTAACAGGAAATCGTTTCCCGAAATATGATGCTCTGTGATGAAAGCGGGTGCTGCCAATTATGCTAAGTCTGTTGTTGCACGGCGGTTGCGTCCTATAAATACACTGTCCCTTGTGCCTCCATTACGTCTGTCTGTGACTTCCCCTGATGATGAGTTTGGGTGAGGGTCCGAAACGTTAGCCCTTTGGCGTCTCTTCCGGCGGCCGCCTCTTCTTCTTCTGAACTGTTTCGTGGAGCTCGTCCACTCGCTTTTGTCGGCAGTATCTGTCCTTTTTTGGAAATTCCTGCGTGACTGAGGAGCGGATAGTCGGGATGCAATGACTCCCATATAAATTCGACCTTAATGGCCTTTTCAGTCACATGTGTTCCGAGTCGCCCTCATTGCAGCCTAGTGCCTCGACCAGAGACCGCCGTGTGCAGTCAGCGTAGGCGGACTATTTAATTGATTCAGTCGCCGAGCCCGCATCCACCTTTGATAGTATTGACATCGTCTTGCTGTCGAGATAAGGTGAGCGTGGGAAAATGTGGACTCAGTAGATGCTGTGCAGTTCTGCCTCGCTATAAACGGAGTCACGCTCAAGTTACCGGTGCTGCGATTTTTCTATGTGGCTAACGTTGGATGTTGTTACTCACGGCAGTCAAACTGTCGTCTTCCCATTAACTGGGTTGGGAGCTATAATCCATAGCCTTAACCCTTCATGAAAATGCATGGGGAACATGATTTTAGATCCCCAACCAGTGGATGAGATAAGGTAATTAAAAAAGGAAACACTGCATGTAAGGTAACATGTCTTTCATTTGGAACAGCATATGCTCGTCAGTTCTGACACAAGGCCACCGAGTTACTGCTAAGAAGTGAGGACGGTCCGACAACGGACAATACTTAGTTAGGTCTTACGGCAGCAATGAGATTCGACTAGTTGCCACATTGACTGGCTGTGTACCCGCCGGAATTTGCGATCCACGCATTAAGGTAAATTCCTCTTTTAATCTTCAATTTATAATTTTGATTTATTTAATGCCAGTTTACAGGCATTTTCAGGGAAGCGTTAAACACAAATCCGGTCAGCAGTGAAAAAAAAACTCCTGTGGGAAAGGAATAAAAATATAGTTAATGGGTTTTATGCTTTGGAGGGTTCAGGAGAAAAAAACTGCTGGCGACAAACTTTTGACCGTCAAGATGGGAGGGGCTGCACGGTATCGGATAATATCAGTCGCCAATTTCTTTCATGAAGTTGGGGCTAGTCCAAACAGAAGCGCTGAAGAACATCTGTCGCTGTTGGCCAAAGAAATTGTCCCTGGTGAGACCGGCCATAGTGCTCAGAGACCACAAACACCATCGCTACGGTACAGTCTATCAGTGGATTCAGCACCCAAAATTTGTGAAAGCTTTTCTGAATGCAAAAATCGAGAAATATTTCTCTTAAATAAAGGATAATTTCGCGGAGTTTTTACATTCCTGGGTAGTTTACTCCAAATAGCAATTGCATTTACAGAAAAGAACCGACGATATTTAACTGTACGTGCCAGAGGAAGAAATAAAAAGACCGCACGGTGTCTGTTACGTCGGGGGTGGACATGATGTCTTAAAGAGGTGAGTGGGTTAAATGTGTGATTATATAAGAGCTTAAATAGCAAAAATAGTCCCTTTTGTAATCTACGGAACCATAAAGGATCAAGGCCTGTAAGCTGGCAACGTTCTTGGTAAGACAAATGTCGGTGTTCTGGGGTTAAGACTCTCTTGGTAAAAAAGTGTTGAACGGGTTCTATTTTCTTCCGCTCAGTAGCATGCATGAGGCTGAATAAAAACGAACAGTATTCCAGGCCAGGTGTAACACACATGTTGTAAAGGCGCATTCTGATGTCCCTAGTTTTTAAGTTTCGGAGAATAAACTCGGTCGTTCTACGTGCTTTGGAGACTATCAAGTCACAGTGCTCCGAGAGATTGAGACTCTTGGAGTATGATACGCCCAGATCCTTAATAACCCCAGGCACATTTATGGCGTGACCTTCAATACTAAGTTGAGGTTGGCGGTCGTCGCCAACTACCATGACTGAGCACTTATGCCAAGAAAGAGAAAGGCGCCATGTGCGGCACCACTAGGCGAAAGCCTGTAGATCGCTCTTTAGGAGCTCAAGCACGATGTCATAATCTGCCGGCTTATATCGATATGCTCAGCATATACGCCATACTGCGACAAATGCAGCTGCGCTGGAGCGGCCACCTGGTGCGCATGGACGACGAGCGACAACCCAAACGACTCTTCTACGGAGACGTCGCGACGGGTTCTCGCCGTCAAGGAGGCCAGATTCGCCGCTACAAGGATACCCTGAAGTCCTCCCTGAAGCGCCTGCAAATCAACCCGACCAACTGGGAAGAGCTCGCACTCGATCGACCGACCTGGAGGAGGACAGTGAAGACAGGCGCTGCGATCTACGAAGCCAATCGCATAGCCGCCGCCAAGGCGAAACGCGATGCCCGCAAATCACAACCTCGCCCAGTACGCAACGCCGCCGCACAATCTCTCCCTACGTGTCCTCGATGTCAACGGACATTCCGGGCACGAATCGGACTTGTTGGACATCTTCGGACCAACTGCGCCTCTCGAACTGCACCAACCATCCTCCCCCCGCCCGCCTTTGCCTCCCCGCCGCCGCCAACTAACTCTGACAATTCTTCTGAACCACCACTTCCATCCTCCTCCTCCTCCTCCTCCTCCTCCTCATCCTCCTCCTCCCCCTCCCCCACTGCCCCAGCGGCGGCCGCACAGGCGGCCGTCTCGCACATCAACCCCGACACAACAACCGACACCACCCCCACCTCTCCCGATTCCAGTAATGAGGATCAGGACTACACCTGCCCTCACTGCGGTCGCATCTTCACCTCACGCATCGGCCTGGTCGGTCACTTGCGAATCGATCGCACAGAGACTGGCGAACCAGTGCCTGGAGCACCAACCTACACCCCCCGCACTCGCCTTCACTGCCCACACTGCCCTCGCACCTTCCGGCATCGCATGGGCCTATTCGGCTACATGCGCATCCACGAGAGCGGAATTGACCACAATTCCGATACACCAACCACACCCATCATGCTCAGCACCACCCTCCCACCATCCGTCTGCACCAACGCCTCCTCTGTGGCTGACACTGACACCGCCGAAATCACGTGTCCACACTGTCCACGCACACTCACCTCACGCATCGGCCTGGTCGGTCACTTGCGAATCCATCGCACAGAGACTGGAGAACCAGTGCCTGGAGCACCAACCTACATCCACCAAGCTCGACTCAACTGCCCACACTGTCCCCGCAATTTCAGGCACCGCATGGGTGTATTCGGTCACATGCGCATCCACGACGACCTGCTGTAGACAACCGCCGGTTACACCACACATTCACATACTTCATACCCTCCTCCACCATCAATACTACGCATCAAAACTCACCCACCGCATGCATCAACTGCCACCTTCCACGCAAGTGGGAAGTGTGCATCTCGACACGGTCCCCATGCGGCCTCGGCTGCACGGGTGACTTGAGTCCGAGGCTATCCCGACACGCCAAGTGTCGTGGATAGGAAGGTTGCTAATTGACGCCCGTTCTCGGTTCACGCAGTTTGCCACGTTGTGTGTGTGTTGTGTGGAGTGGCGGACTTGTGGGCTGGGAACGGGCTGAAGCAGCACCTTTCACGGCCCTCTCACGCAAGTGAGGGACAAGCCGCTCAACCCCCTTTGTGTGAAATCCTGGTGTTGTGTGTATGGGGGGCCAGGTCGTGCTGAGGTGCGCGCAGGCATGGTCCATCGACCATGTCAGCCACCGCGCCCATTCCCCACTCCAGTTTGCCGACCGGCTCGGACGGCGGCTGGAGTGTGGGAATGGGAAGGCAGAGTGAGGTCGACGACTCAGCGCACTTTCTCCTCACTATAATCAATCTGACGCGCTTGAAGCTACCACGGTGCGCTAAAAGCCGTGGCTTGGAATGTTGCCAACTGACGGGGTAACTTGGACCTCTTCCTTCACTGGAGGCGGTCTGAGAGTCAGGCTGCAATGGCTCCTTTTTAATGTGGCCTTTATGGCATTCCCACCACAGCGTGGGATCCGAGCCAGGCGTTGGCGGCACGCCCAGGTGCGGCTTCGGCCGTGTCAGCCTCCAAATCTCTGTTGTGTTGGTTGAAATCCTGGTTATTGTTGTGTGGACCAGGGGGTGTGGTGGAACGCCAAGGTGAGGATACGTCCGAGCCATCCACCTGCGGCCTCCCTCGTCTCCGGTCTTCTGGACTCTGTCTTGATACCGGGCTCGGGCGAGGGAGGTGGAGAGGGTGTAGGTAGATGCTACGCAAGTCTACTGACACTATAAACCCCTGCGTAAGTCACCGTCCCTGCTCCCACAATGCAGTCTGTGGGGCAAACGGTGGACATCATCGAAATCGATATCGATATGCATCTTCAAGATCATCGGCATACATGGAAGGCTTACCATTCTGAAATAAATCGGGTACATCATTAACGAAAAGGCAAAATAAATGTTGGCCGAGTACACTACCCTGAATGACTCCACTCCTCACATGTGTGGGATTGGAGATGGTATTGGAAATCTTAACGCTTGGTTTACGAGTGCCCAGGTAAGAGGATATAAAATTTAAAAGATTACCACCTATTCCGAAAGAGGACAGTTTCAAGAGAAGAAGAGCATGGTCAACACGATCAAAAGCCTTAGTGAAATCGAAATATACTGTGTAAAGTGCAAAACCATTTTCCCTAGATTGGAGAACACATTGGTGTCACAAGACCGAGCATTGAGGAATCCATGCTGAGCAACACTCAGTAGGTTATTCACTGTTAAGTGACCTATCATCTTATCTTTGATCAATGTCTCTAAGATGTTCGAAAATGCAGGAAGGGTGTTTATTGGCCTAAAGTCATCAAATGACGTAGATTTGCCGTGCTTAGGAATGGGCAAAATGTGTGATTCCTTCCACAAGGTAGGATAAGTTTCACTTTCAAGAGCAAGATTAATTATCTTGCATAAGAGGGATGGGTAAATCGTATTTGCATCGGCTTTCGAAATGCTTACTGGGACACCATAAGTTCCTGGACTGTAAGATTGACGAAAACGCCGAATCGAAACAGTCACATCCCACAGAGTGAAAGTTAAAATTTCTAGGACTGCCCCAGTCAGTGCCGAGATGGTCGGAAGCGGATTGGTCGAGTCCTCAATGAACGTTTTGGACAGGAAATCATTGAAGCTATCAGCGGTTAACTGGGAATCAACCGTTAGATTTCCCAGAGCGTCTCGGAGGATGGGATGCTGCGTCTTTCTATGAGTTCGTATTTTTCTAGAGAAAAGTTTCGATACATTTAACGAATGGTTTTCGGTAAGCTGGACCCCTTCGGCTAGCTGTTTTTCTTCAGAAAATCTCTTAGCTCGATCAAAAATATCACAAGTCAAGGGCAGAACAGAAACTTCGTTCTGAAGATGAAATCGACGTTCTCCAGACTGTGGCTGGCAAGACAATTCGCACGGCACATATTCTGGGTGGTATCGGGCTCCTTCCGGCAAATAACATTATACATTTTGTCGTCTGGAGGCGCGCAATTCCTTCTGTTGATATTTTATTGTGTAAATACCTCATGGCATTTCCGATCTTATAAAATAAGGTAGCTGTGGCTATTGAAAGAGGTCACCCGTCATAAAACTGAATAAGGTCTCTAGTTATCTGTATTGCAGCCGAAGGAACTATTATCGACTCGACCAATGCATGGGAGCTGATGAACCGCGGCGTAATTTAAGGTGGTCAACCTTATTTAATTTAACCCGTGTCAACGAAGACAAGGGTTCATGAAAATATTTAAAATGGGAGCCTATAGACACATTGGGACGAGACGACGCTATAGAGACAACAGAGTAAAAGAGAGTACGCTTGTTTCCGATCCTATGGTAATTAGGCAGAATGCACAAATCACAATAAACCCCGAAATAATTTTCCCTATTTCAGTTGCGCTTTGGTTTTATTTAAGTGTGAGTTTGCCTAAGAGCGCACGAAGTTGGATAGAAGTGGAAAAAACTGTGATCAAGGGCACAGGCGTTTTTATAATTCAGGGTACTTAAAGGTAAAAGCAACACCTTTAAAGACTGTAAAGCCCCTTGACATGAACAGGATTGTTTGAATGTTCTAACGCTTTTTTGCGCGCGGACCTAGGGTGCAGATGGCGCAACCGCGTGCTGGCGAACATGGCCGGTGTCTCTTCCTCTCACTTCCGCCGACCCCTTTCCCCATGTTACCGTAACGTTCATATCCTTCTCCTCTCTACGTCGGAACCTCCCTGGGCCCTTCCCTGCAGTTACCCACAGCGCTGCGTTCCCCACCGGTTAATACGCTGGCATATCGGTATCGCCTCTCCACCCAGACAGGTTATTCTGCAGTTGTAACTCATTCTGCCGGTAATATTAACAATTATTATACTCATTTCCCGTGCCTATCTCGTTATATATAGAATATCCCTTACTTGACGTACCTTCTTCTCCTGCGTGTGAATGACTATCAAGAGATGCTATCAGTTCTATTCAGATCCATCTCCCCCAGGATCTCCTCTCAACGTTTCCCTACTTTGGTGTGTGCTACCCTTGACGTCCTCGGCCGCTACAGACCCTATTTCAAACTGCCCACATGACATGTGACTTAATATAAACATATCACTATCTTCTTACCAGAAAAAAATATATTTAAAAGTCCTATTGTAGTAGCTTTGAAGTGAAACTTGGGCACCCTCAGATGTCAAAGGAGATGCAAAATACGAATGATAGTCGTCCGCGTTAATGGCAGATGCATATGTGCCAAGCGTTTACTTGGTGTAACAGAACTGCTCCGTCTACTCAGATAGTATTTTTCAAGCAAATGTGCATCCAGTTTACGTTTTAATGTCCCTCTGGAGTCCATTATAATTACTTCCTCGCTCCGAAAACTAGTATATGTGAACATTTCGGTGGGATAAGATTTCCGAAGTTTGAGGAAGGTGCCTCGCAAGTTAGTTGTCGTGGTTAGTGCTAAGCAATCACCGAAGTGCAGGGAGTAGTCCCGATTCTTTACGGTCTGGTTGGCCGACATGAGCTCTCCTCGAATCTACATAAACTCGAGGGGGACTAGGCTAAGCGCATGAAGTCTCGATTTGTGTGATAAAGTCCTTAGGCCCTTCACAACTATGGTGGCGTAAGTTTGTACCATTTCCATCAACTTATAGTTTTCCCAGCCAGAGTCTCCACGCTTGTATTCCATATTCCAGTTCCGAACGAATAAACGCTCTGTATACTTTTGGCTCCTTTTCTATGTCTGTGGATGTTCTTTAAATAGTGAAGTGAAAACCGGTTACCATTTTGACCGTCTATCGAGTTGAGAGGAAAACTCCAGAGATGGCAAAGCGGTGAGTTCGAGGTCCTTTTTTCCGTTACCTTGGACAGGCACCCTTAACCAGAGAAGCGCTGACGAGCATCTACATCTGCCTTCACCTTCTTTGCTTTGAGCCGCAGTGCAATGGTCTTCTCAATGCTAAACTTCAACGACCATTTATTAGATCGTTCACATAGGCGGTCGAGTCCTCCCCGCAGAGTTCGTTCATCAGTCTTGTATTTGATCGCTCGCCATACTTGAATGCCGTCTAAAAACATGGCTTCCTTGCTGTCAGGCCTACCCTTGAAGTCACTGACGCAAATTAAAAACAGCAATGATCTGATCACAAAGCCTTGAGATGCTCTACTCGCGTCCGGCGTTGGCGCTGATTCCACACTGTCATGGCACACAAGCTGCGGTCGGCCGATCAAAAAGTCCTCTGTCCAGCTTATTAGGTCCCCCTTTATCTCAGATTCACGGCCTTATAAAGTAACCGGTGGTGTAGACCGCTATCAAAGGATTTTTTGAAATCAGTGTAAACGGCACTGCCTCTTATGTCTCTATCTATGGACCGGAGCCATTGATGTCATTCGACTCTGCCGTCCACAAACCTCCTATCGGGTTCCATAGATTCGTTTGAGCTCTCCGCAGACGCCCTCGTTGCTTTTGGCAAAGTGAAGGCTGACTTGGCGGACGCCACCCTCCAACACACTCTGTTCCCGGCGCGACTATCTCTCTCAAGATCTACATATCCATTGTTGAAGCGTGTTTCAAGTCTAACCTAGCCCCTAGATTTCTACCTCAGGAAGTTATTGTATGCCTAATCGCGCAACAGCACGTTTGGACGGGAGCACCTGGTCTTGAAATATTTTCGACACTTCCTTGAGGTCAGGGACTTCATTATGCCCATAAACCACAAGCCCCTTTCTTTCGCTCTCAGGTCGAGCTCCTATGACCTTAACCCCCAGGAAATCCGCCAAATGAAA